ACATGATCTTTTACCAAGATGTACGTACTCACGAATACTACGAAACCTTACGTCCTAAAAAGGATTCAACCATAGCATTTTTTATCTGATATGAAATGTTTGTGTTGTATAAAAGTAAAAAATAAAATTTAGATATTATATATGCAAATGCATAGAAATTAGTTGGTATGCATGTAAAATGCTCTTATAATTGTGTTATAATTTTTATATTATAATTTTACTGTGACTATTGTGATATTGTGTTGAACCACATGTAAATTGATGCATTGTAACTGTACTATAATTATTGTGGTGTTATGTTTAATCTTTTTATAATTTATTATTTTGTTGTCAGTGTTGTAACTACTAAGATTATATATAATTAATGTTCAAATATAATTCAAATGATCTTCAAACATTATTTGAAACTTTTTCATATATTATTGAAATAATATTTGAATATTACTTAGATATTATTTGATTTATGTTCAATTAGCTATGCTTGAACTATGCATGGATTATACTCCAATCATGTTGAAAGGAAACTCAAATCTTGTTTGATCTAATATTTAAACATTGTTGGAACAAAAATAGTTTGAGCATGAATTGAGATTGAGCATGGTTTGATTATGATTCAATAATGGATCTTATTTTAGCCAAATATCATTTGAAAATGATCTGATTAAAATTTATACCTCACTTAAGCCAAATAATCCAAACATAATTTGAACAATTTTCATGATTGAAACAGTTTCAAGCCTGGTTTAGAATTTTTTCAATTAACATTTAAATCATATTCAACTTGACTCAAACAAGATCCAAATATTATTCAAATAAGATTCAATAAGATTTGAATATTAGTTATTCAAGGACCTAAATTTTGTCATTATATAATCTGAATATTACTTAAAGTTTATTCAAACATATTGTTGAACCTTGATTGAGCCAGTGAGAGGTAAGAGAAAGATAGAGAGACAAAAAGAGAGAGAATGAATATTGATGAATAGTGTTCAATCATGTCTTATCCATAAAATGATTCTCTTATTTATAGAGGAGGGGTACATAATGATGTTATTATTTTTTTACCCTTGCTTTAAATGAGTTCGTACTGAGATATTTTTGGTATTTTACATGCATAGCTTGTCGCCTGGCTACTTTTTAGCTCGGACAGCTAAGCTTAATTAGCTTTAAGCGTGCAGGATCAACTCGGTCAATTGAACTGAGTCATTTATCCAAGGTGGTTGGTCGTTCAAGCAGGGTCAGTCATCCAGGCTAGGACGATCTTCTAGATGGGTTGGTCATCCGTCTGGGTCGGTCATCCAGGTAGGGTCAGTTGTCCAATTTGGGTCAGTCATATAGGTGGGATCCTCACATCCAAGCTAGGTTGGTCGTCAATGTTGGGTTTTTCGTCCTGACTAGACCATTCAGTCCAAGTTGTCCAGGATGGGTCATCCAAGCTCAGTCGTCTAGGTTGGGTCAATCATCCAGGCTGGTTTGTCATGTCCAGGCTAAGTCGATTGTCGGATCGATCGCCCTGGATTAGTCATTTAGGTTGGGTTTGTCATGCAAGCTATGTCGGTCGTCTAAGTTTGGTCGTTCCTCTGAGAGATTCAGTTCGACATACTTTTGTTATACATATTTTATTTTCTCGATTCTCTTAGATCTTTGAAAGTTAGATGTGAAATAAATAAGAAAATTATAAAAATGGAAATAACATTGTTTGTCCCTCTAAATACTTATTTTGGAAGTTGTTCTAAAGCCGAGTGACTAAATGGGGTTGAAATAGTCGATTAATTGAGTTTTAGATGTTATTGCCCAACCCAAGTTTTACACGACCCATGTCTCAGTTGCTCGTTCTGGTAGTCACCTTGAACGTGCAACATCTTATGCTAGACATGTTTAAAAAATCTTTTCATAGTCATCAGCGTATGAATCACTTTGAACGTGCATCATCTTATCCTAAACCATCCAGACTCTCCATTAGGATGATTCATACACTTTCTACCATGACTTTTTTTGTCAATGGGGAGGGAATCTTAACTTCAAGCATAACCCGCTCCAAGGTATGAGACATGGATTTTTATGATGCATGAGTGTTGTGGTTTAGATAGTCTAGTATGGTCCAAAAAAATGTAAACCACTTTCCTCTTAATTTTTTTGAAACTTGCTTGTGTGGGGCATGTTCCCTAAGTATTTGTGACAAACTCTTTATGTGCATATTAAAAAAAAATTAGATGAAAAAATAATAAGGGTTATGAGAATTTTTTCTTGAAGTGTCATTGGTTGAATTTTTTTGTAGTTGTTTTTAAAGTAGCATGTAACTGGCTGAGTGGAGGTGGCCGAGAATATGTGTCCTAGTGGTTGCGACCGAATGTGGGAGGTCAAGTGTTGACAAGTTAAGCTTGGTTAGCTGACTTGGGACAGTCGGCTAGGTTGGGTCAGTCTTTCCTTTGGGTTGGTCATTAGGTTAGGTCGTTCAGGCTTGGTCGGTTGTCCAAGCTAGGTCGATCATCTAAGCAGGGTCAATTGGGACCTGGCCAGGTTAAATTAGAGTTAGCTGAGCCAAAATTAATCATCAATTCTTTTTCATGTGTTGTTCCTCTTCTTGTTAGTTCATGATCCAAGCTGATGGAAGTTTTTTTTGGGTTGATGTGTGTCCACCATAGATCTTAAAAGTTTTATACTTAAATTATCATATACAACATTTAATTATTCAGACGATGAAAATTTTTTAATACTTTTAGGTCTACGTGAACTAAGTTTTTCCTTGCATTATAGGTGTAATAGAGGGTTTATTTTATTTTGGGGTTTGATATACCTATAAGGGCAAACCCTTTGAATTAAAGTTAATGTGGGATGAAATGAGTTTAAGATAACCTGGATCAGTTTGATTGATTGAAAAGTTTAACTTTGGATGTATGGATTGGGAAGATTGATTTGAAAGTTTGGTCTTTAATTCGTTTAAGTTGGATGGGAACCATAAACTAAAGGGTAGAGTCGGGTGAGAAAGATTTCTAGATGGAGGTGAAAGTCCTAGCTAGCCTAAACTCTATAAGGAGCTTAAATGGGTGGACTAACCTAAAATTTTGGAATAATGCCTTCTATCAAGGTGACCGTGGCTTTCAGTCGTCTTTGGTGCGTTGGTATCCTTCAACAATGAACAAATCTTCTAACTTAAGAAATCTCGACTTAGTGTCATAGTAATGAAAAATGAAGGATTTTCTTAGCTAAAGGTGGTTTGTGGTGCTTTTGTCCGCAACCATGAGTTACTTCATCCTATGTTGTTTGTTTTATAGGTTTACTAGTTATAGACACTTAGTAAACTAACCAAGCTTCTAGAACGAACTAATATAAGGTATATGTGACCCTTAATTTTATTTATACATTGGCTAATCTAGGGTTTGTGTCGGATCTACCTAAGTTTGGTTCTTATTTTTTAAGTTGATAGATTCTAGATTTTTTTTAGAGTTTGGTATTTAGTTTGTGGTTTGTTTTGATTCCTATGATTGTTGGTCATAGTGAGAATAAAAGTTTTTCTATGTTCAAAGGTTTTGTAATTAGTTTTCTAAGTTGACGCTCTTTGTTTAGTTTTCTCCTTAAGTTTGGTGTCCCGTGTTTGAAGTTTTTTGCCATTTGCAAGCTTATGTAATTCAATTTCTTTTACAGTTAAAAAAATTTTTAGTTGCTTAATTTTTGGAAGTTTAAATATTTCATGTTGTTGTAGTTTCCTTTAAGTTACTTAATTATTGTTTTAGTGCCTTGAGTTATTTTGGGTCATTTATTTTAAGTATTCAAATTATTAAATTACTTTAGATAATTTAGTTTAAATATTCAAGCTATTGGGTTATTGGTTTAAGTATTTTAAGTTACTTTAGATTATTTTGTTTAAGTGTTTTAGTAATTTTATTAATTGTCTTAACTGTTTTAAGTTACTTTAGACTATTTAGTTTAAGTGTTTAAGTTATTTGATTAATTGATTTAAGTATTTTAAGTTATTTTAGATTATTTTGTTTAAGTGTCCAAGTTATTTGGTTAATTGTTTTAAGTGTCTAAGTTATTTTTAGAATTTTTGTTTAAGTGTGTAAGTTATTTGGTTAATTGGTTTTAGTGTTTTGTCATTTTAGATTATTTAGTTTATGTGTTTTAATTGTTTGATTTTGGTGATTAAAATATCTGGTTTTAAGATTTTCTTAATGACTTCAAATTATTTTAAAGGAGTTTTAAAATTATTTTAGATTGTTTTTAAATTATTTAAGGAATACTATTATTATTCTTAAATTATTTTTTAGTGCTTTTAAATGTTTTTAAATTGTTTTATTATTATTATTCTTAAGTTAACTATGAATTAATTTTAAATTGTTTTTAAATTAGCTTTAAATTGATCTTAAGTTGTTTGAATTACTTTTAAATTAAATTCAAATTAAATTGAAGTTATTAAATTACTTTTTGGTTATGTTAAAGTTGTTTTTAGATTCCTTAAAGGTTTTGAACTACTCGAACCTGCAAATGAGACGTATTATTAAAATGTTCACTAGGAAAACCTACATATGAGATCTTCCCCTACACTTTTTTATTGTTTTATTTTTATGTTTTAACACAAAGAAAGAACTATATATGGTATTCAAAGAATATAAAACATGATTGGACTATATATAAACCATGACTTGGATTACACATGAAATATGACTTGGATTATACAAGAAACATGATAAAGTTTTGAATACTACACATGAAATTAAATTCGGTTTGACTCAGGACAAGCTAGGGTTGGGTTGGATTGAGCCAAGCTCAGCAAGGGTTAGGTTAGGTTGGGCTAGGTTGTGCCAGATTGGGTTCAACTAGATTGGGCTAGTTTAGACAAAGTGTCTATTTGGGATCATTGTAGTTTATTAATAAATTGCTATGTAAAAACTGTTGGGGATAAGCTGCTATTGTGTTTTTGGAGTTAGAAAGCCTTTTGGGGTAGTTTATTAATAAATTGCTATGTAAAAACTGTTGCGGATAAGCTGAACAGACTATTGTGTTTTTGGAGTTAGAAAGCCTTTTGGCATATGGTTTTAAAAGAACTTTTCTTGGAGTGCCGTGCATTTAGAAATGGCCGTTGGATTTCGAAGGAAGGAGCAGCTGAAGCGCCCAAGCTCGAAGCTTTCCTCTTCCATGGTTTCTCCTCCTTCCTCTTGCTCGAAGTCCCTCACTTTCTCTCGGCTCAGTATTTACATAAGTAGAAGCAGGACCCTTCCCTGTGCGCTGTTAGTACTGGTCGTCTTCTTTGTCTACGTCGCGTGGAAGCTCGCCTCTTCTCAGGGATCTATCCATCGATTTTACTCTTTTGATATCGTGAACGAGTTTCCCCACGATCCACAAGCATTCACTCAGGCGAGGATCTTGATTTGTTAGATTTTTGGCATGATTTTCTCTTAGATTCACTTTCTTCAAAGGAAATTCGTTGTGATAAGCCCTTCCGAAGGGTTATTATGGTCAGGTTTGAAGCACGAAGTCTTGCCGTTAGATAAATGTATTTGTATTCCTCCGGCTAAAGTATTCTTCAGGGAACCGGCCCTATTTTTGATTTCTGTGATTGCGGAATTACTTCCATGAATCGTCTTAATTTCACAATATGCTTGTACAAAAATTGGTGAAGGCTGAGAATGAAGAAACCCTAATCACTGTTAAGGACTTTTTGGTTACTTGTATGATCGAACACAATTCGGATTTAATAAATCATGCGGGGGTTTATCCTTAAAAAAATTTCTAGGATGGAAACTGTCCTGCTAATTCTTTATAAACTAGTTGACTATTTTTTTTTCAGAATTTCTTAGGGTGTAATTGACATTGAGGATTAACTCACGGATTCTTTTTCTCAATCGACAATGGATTAGGTAGTCACTAAAATGCTTCTGCAGTTTGGGAGGGGGAATTAGTGTTAAGGAATATGAGAATATGAGCTAAGGCTCTGTTTGGCGCAGCTGCTGCTGCGCTGCCCCAGGAAGCTGCTGCGGGGAAGTTAACTGTTTGTTTGGTGCAGCTGTGTAAAACCAGCTGTCGGACAGCTGTTTATGGAAAAATGACCACAACGCCCCTCTTCAGTAAAGCTATTTAAAACACAATCGATGTTAAAATGCAAGTGTTTTATATACAATCAATGTTAAATATGACATGCAAGAAGCACGTGCCTTCTTCAATGTGACACTAACACAGCGGTTGCACGCAATATGCACATGCCTTCCAAGTTGCTTCATGTCATTGCAAGAAAATATAACAAAAAAAAGCATTACAATCTGGAAAATATCAAAAAAAACATTAAAATCCGGAAAGCAACAGCAAATGCAATCCCACCCTTCAAATAGTTTGGGAAAAAATAACCTTATGGCAATTACTTCCATTTTAAAAGTGAAATAGACATCATACATAGATTTATGACACCGTGTTATAAGAGTAAATATCCAACATTGAGTGTTAGAATTACATACATACAACTCAGTTCTTATTTATTTACATATCATAACACCAAAACTGCTGTGAGGTTACCACGCTTGATTCCTGGCCTGAGATAGTCGGTCCATCTCTGCCTACAGCTCTTGCTAGTCTAAAGATGTAGTTCCTGGTCTAGAGATAGTTGCTATGAAGGAATCAAGATAATTATAGATCTAGTTCACAACCAATACAAAGAAAATTAAAGCAAAAATTTTAAAAGTTTCAGAGCAATGAAAATATGCCTAAAGATGTCGCTTCCAAAAAAGATAGGAATGAAGTAAGAAGCTTGCATATTAAAGAAGGTTCTAAAGTAATTAAAACGAAAATGTGATTTGAACAAATAAGAGATAGAATTGGAAAGTTCCATATAAAAGAGAAGTGTGTGCATCAAAGATGAGAATGAACATACAGTGAATGCAATAGTTAACAAGGACTGCAACCAAATGCATCTTTAAAAAGGTTTGATAATATTAATAAACAAATTGATAGAAGAAAAACAACTATAATACAAGCCAACTTACTGGATATACGAGCATGAAGTCAGGGTAGATGGAAATATGCAATCAGGCAAAGTCGTTGTTTATAATATAAAAGTTTAGCTGCCAAACAAATTTATGAACATTTAAAAAGTTCTAACAATTTTCATGCAAAAGAAATTTCAGTTCTAATTCTCTCAGAAAGTATTAAATTTGGATTAAAAATAGTTACTGAATCAAACTCCAATTAATGTGAAAAGGATGCTTCATCTTCCAATTTCTCCTATCTCCTCTTACCTGCTGGAAAAGTGTCCGATGGATTGTTATCCACTTGTGAAGTCTGTAAGGAGGGCGAAAGGGAGTGTGAAATAGGAAGATGAAGAAGAAGACGATAATGGCGGAAGAAATCGACAAATAAATAAATAAAGAACTTGAGGAAAGCTGGTACCGGACGAAAATGGATGCCTCGCCCTGCATCAGAGACGCCATGAAAGAGCTTCGAACCACCACTTTGTAGCGCGGCAAGCCAAGGCAGGGAATGGGGGGAGCTCTGTCGACGAGCTGGGTGATCTTTTTCGCAAGAGAAAGACGGGCGATGAGATCCTCCGCAGCTACTTGGGCGGTTGATAATATTAATAAACAAATTGATAGAAGAAAAACAACTATAATACAAGCCAACTTACTGGATATACGAGCATGAAGTCAGGGTAGATGGAAATATGCAATCAGGCAAAGTCGTTGTTTATAATATAAAAGTTTAGCTGCCAAACAAATTTATGAACATTTAAAAAGTTCTAACAATTTTCATGCAAAAGAAATTTCAGTTCTAATTCTCTCAGAAAGTATTAAATTTGGATTAAAAATAGTTACTGAATCAAACTCCAATTAATGTGAAAAGGATGCTTCATCTTCCAATTTCTCCTATCTCCTCTTACCTGCTGGAAAAGTGTCCGATGGATTGTTATCCACTTGTGAAGTCTGTAAGGAGGGCGAAAGGGAGTGTGAAATAGGAAGATGAAGAAGAAGACGATAATGGCGGAAGAAATCGACAAATAAATAAATAAAGAACTTGAGGAAAGCTGGTACCGGACGAAAATGGATGCCTCGCCCTGCATCAGAGACGCCATGAAAGAGCTTCGAACCACCACTTTGTAGCGCGGCAAGCCAAGGCAGGGAATGGGGGGAGCTCTGTCGACGAGCTGGGTGATCTTTTTCGCAAGAGAAAGACGGGCGATGAGATCATCAACCCTCCGAGATCCTCCGCAGCTACTTGGGCGGTTCCAGTCCCCAAAGACGAATCACGGCAGGAAAAGCTGGAGAGGAATTGCGACAGGTAAAGCTTGGACCATGGGAGGGATCCCGCGACCAGCTTTCAGCTGCGCGTCGGGGCCGCCGCGATGAAAAATTTGCCTCAAACGGACAAGATTCACTGGGGGACGCCGCGCCGCATGAAAAAATCCGCCTCAAACGGGCCCTAAGTCTTGCACTGAATAGTTGAAAAGTTTTTCAGTGCAAAAATATCAATAAAATTTTACAACTAGCACAAATTTCTTTTGCTTTACATACCTCACACCTAAACTTTCATATTTACACACGACACTCATGTGTTTTAAACCAATGCATGTAAATAAAATTTTCACTTTTAAAAGTGCTAATAGTGATAATTTTGGTAAATATTAAAGATTTTGAGTACCATGTATATAAATATGAAAGTTTAGGTGTTAGATATGTAAATACATAAGAATTGTGTTTTTATGTATGTAAGTGCCAAATATTAAATGGTTGGTCCTCATCTCTTAACTTAAGACTTTGGGTTGAGATTGTGTTTTACCATTAGTGCATCTAGTCCAACTTCAACCCCCTTTTGGTTTACACAATCATATGAAGTGCTATGAGGGTTGATGATTTAATGGGGATCAAGTAGTTCATGTGGTTTGTAGCTCCTATGGGTCATTTTCACAATAAAATATGGTATTGAAAGGTTTAAGAATCTGTGGTGGAAGTTCTATGTGATTAAGTGGGCTATTGATCCGTGATAGTTAATTATGTTGAAATGATTTCATTCCAGGGTAAACAATAGTTAATGTGGATAACTCTTGTAAGGGGGAGTGTGGGCTTTGAAATAGCTTTTTAAAGGAATGAATAATACTTCTTAAAAAGATAAAAAAAACTTCTTGTGGGATCAATGGAAGATATATGGGCTAAATTTTTAAAGGAAAATTTACATACGTAACACACAATTCTTATGGATTTATGTACCTTACACCTAAACTTTCATAATTGCATGCATAAAAATTTACCTATGCATGAAAAGGTGGATTTTGGATTTGACTATTAAAAAGTGTTAATTAGTGCTATTTTGATGTGATACAAAAGAATTAAGTGATATGCATGTAAATATGGAAGTTTTGGTGTGAAATGCATAATTCCATAAAAATTGCGTGATATGTATGTAAATTCCCCAATTTTAAAATATAGTTTAGAAGTTTCCCAAGATAATATGAGGAAATATACAAGCTTATTTTATTTTGTTATTCAATTTACCCATTATAAGAAGTTTTTTCGTCTCAAGAGTTATTTTTTAAGAGCATTCTCAATTAAGATCATGGCCAACATTGATTTCAAAGTTTGGTTTTCAAGGACTGAATATAGGGACTCAATTAAAGATTGACTGAATGGATGACATAATATTTGGATTCCAAGAGAGGAAATGCTAGGAAAATTTGACCTTGGTTACTCAGGATGCTTGATACCTCATTTTATGTAGGATGATTAATTTCTTAGAAAACTATTTATGTTCAACTTGGTTCAAATTTTAAACCATGGGGATTAGAATTTCGCATAAGTAAGTTACATTATTGAGGAAATTGTTTGGGCTAAAGGCCTACAACATCATAGTTAATGATATTTGCTTCGATTTTAATTTTGTTTAGCAAATTGCCACTCTATAACTAGGGTTGTGTTTTTGATCAGTTTGTATAGATTGGTTTACAGATTTGCTAAATCAATTCAAATTATATACGGAACCTAACTGACAACATATAGCTAGAAGTGAATAAAATTGAACAGCAATATAATTCAGTTTACTTCATTCGATTTTGATTTAACCAAAGTTTGAAATCATAGGTAGATTGCAATTTTTACTGAACTGCAATAGGGGAATCTCATTAGCTTTGATTTGATTAGATATCCGAAATCTTGCTTCGACACTTTCCTCTTCACTAGCTTCATGTGACTTCGTGAGGTGTGAGTTTGGCTACGGCCAAAGGCTTTTAAAGAGAAAAAAATTGAAAAAGGGAAATACTATCAGGCTATTTATTTAGTATGTGTTTTTTTTTGTTTATTTGAATTTTTTTAACCAAACCGATAACCAAAAATCCAAAAATTTTTTACCTCCAAGCTTAAAACCAAACCATCATTTAATGAACCAAATCAAACCAATAAAATATATTCGGTTTAGTTTAATATTTTTGGCTTAAACCAACTAATGCACGCCCTTATCTACAAGGAGTTTTGCTGGGGAGCTTGGGTTTGGTGCCTAAGTTCTTGATTGCTAGGATTGGGCTTGGGTTAGATTAGCCAACAGTCTTGTGCTAGTCAATCATATCAGGCCAGCCATGTTCTTAGATACTCAGGGCATACTTTGTGGCATAGCAACTCAATATAGCTAATCAAAGCAGTGCATGCTTTGACTTTGCGGCTTAAATTTATTAGCTTTAATGTACTCCCAAGCCAATATTTGTTTTCTTTTTTATTTTTTTCCCTTAAATTTTTTTTTTCTCCGGTTTTCATATTTGGGGCCTGACCCCTACTAACTATTATAGAATTCTTACCGAATCTCTTTTCATGCATGAATATTTTTGTTACATTTTCACAATATGAATTGTTTGTAACTTTTTCTCTCTTGTTTTCATTGCTAGGGCCTCTTATACGACGGAAATGATAAATTACTTGAGTCAACTGGTATTTATGGGAGGGTATGAAACTTTCCCGTCATGCATTTTTAAACTGTTTAACACTTCTACTTCTAAATGCAATTGTCATATATTTAATCAAGCTCCTGGTTATTATCTCGTGTTAATCACAATATGCACTTATTTTTATATACTTTTTCCTTTTTACTAGACATAATTTGGGCTTCTTTGACTAATAGATATGACAGATGCAATAAAATTTCCATTTCTGTTAGTTTCGTATGTTTTTCCGCCTTTCTTGATTAAGATTTATTCTGAAATGGACAACCCAAAGAATGCAAGGATAACTATAACTGTATACATTGTATATGTACAATCCGGAGAGGGAACTACATTAAAATTTATTTTATTCTACCATATACCGTTTCACTTGCTTACATATTATAACACCATCAATAGGATGCTTGATGCTTAAGGAAAATGCACTTTGAAACATTTTGGACCCATTTGGCATCTCTTTTATTTCCTATTATTATTTTTATTTTTCTTTGTTTTAGAAAATATGTTTGATTGGTATATATATATATTTTTTTAATTTTAAAAAACAAATCAATTTACTTTTAAAAATACTCAAAAATCACTTAAAAATATGTTTTTAGTGTCTGTACGAACAAGTAACTTAGTCAAACATGTTTTAATTGAATTCAAAGCATAAACTAAACAAAATGAAAATAAAAAAATGAAAAGCAAAAAAATAAAAGTGATCCCAAACGGCCCCTATGTTTTCAGAATGAATCATTTGAGAACACGAAATGTGCTTTTGTTGGTATATCATTTTGCTAGAGGGTTCGTCGTGATAAAGATTTAGTGCTTCAGTATGTACAACATGGATCTTGTCTTTTCAAGTCATTTGAATGATTTGAATTCAATTAAAACATGTTTGACTGAGTTACTTAATTTGACAGACACTCAAAACACATTTTAAGTGATTTGAGATCCGGAGTGGGAACTACATTAAAATTTGTTTTATTCTACCATGTACCTTTTCACTGTTTACATATTAGAGCACCATTAATAGGATGCTTGATGCTTAAGGAAAATGCACTTTGAAACATTTTGGGCCGTTTGGCATCACTTTTATTTCCTATTATTATTTTTGTTTTTTCTTTTGTTTTTGAAAATCTGTTTCGTTGGTATATATTTTTTTTGTTTTTATTTTGTATTTTAAAAAACAAATCAATTTATTTTTAAAAATACTCAAATAACTTAAAATGTGTTTTGAGTGTTTGTACAAACAAGTAACTCAATCAAAAATGTTTTAATTGAATTCAAAGCATAAACTAAACAAAATAAAAATAAAAAAATGGAAAGCAAAAAAATAAAAGTGATCCAAACGGCCCCAACGTTTTCAAATTGAATCATTTGAGAACACGAAATGTGCTTTTGTTGGTATATCATTTTGTTAGAGGGTTCATCGTGATAAGGATTTGTTGCTTCAATATGTACGACATGGATCTTGTCTTTTCAATTCATTTGAATGATTTTGATGTAAGATTAAGAATAGAAGTTCGTTTAAATAAACACTTAAAGATAATTAATTTTGTTCTGCCTAATTTTATGTTTCATCTGATTTCAATGCAAAATAATTTTCAAAGATATGCAAACTTTAATGTGCATATGATTTCTCTGATGCCAACCACAGAATAAGAGTTTTAGGTTTCTAATTTTGTGATAAAGAGATCTCTTGTAAAACACAACTGTCATTAATGCTTGTCTGTATCATGAAAATCATATTTCTCTTAAACATTTACTTTTACCAAGTATTTTTTTTCACTGATCATTTCTTTGTTTATTTTTCTCTTTTTATTTCCTTTAATTAAACGATCTCCTAATTTTTTATTACTTGTGTCAAGTGCAGTCAACAGTAAGAAAGGTTGATCTCCACTCTGGAAAGGTATATATATATATATACATACTCAAAACTTTAATTGTTCAATAATTTCTGTTCATTTTCCCATCCATGAATTTTTTAATTCCTATTAAAATTAATTCTCTGCCTTATTGTAAATTTAATAACAAGTTTTGTAGTATTAATTTATTTACAATTCTGAATAATTATTGTGCTTTCCTGATTCTCCATGGCTAATTCTCCATTTTGTAGTATTTATATATATATACTGCGTCTCCATGGCTAATTAACCGCAAGCTTACTTTCCTCACATTAGATGTCGTTCGCTTGTCTGTCTCCTTCATGCATGAGGCGTCGTTTCACGATTCGGCCTCTGATGTCAAAGCCTGCTTTTCGTGAATCAATTTCCTGTTGCTTTATCTCTCTCATACTCGTGGATCTCACCCTTCTTCTCTCTGCTTCACTCTCGATTAGAAGAGTCTATTCAACCCTTTCTGTCTTCCAGTAGGTGTAACCTGCTCATTGGTTGCGCCTCACAGAAGCAATTACTATTCTAATTTATTATTATTATTATTCAATTATTACAAAATCTGTGAGATCAAAAATAAGATTTTGGCCATAAAGCATGGAGAACGGTCCACGACGGATTACTTAAAAGTTACTCCAAGGCCTTTGCAAAAGGTGGTTCATTATTAAAACACTTAAATAGAATGCAACAAAAGATACAACCGTCTTGAAAGGTTTGTTTGAGAGGACTGAATTTCTTATTATAATGGTCCAAATTCTCTAGAAGGAGGATTTATCTTTTCTTAATAATGTCATTGCCATCATTTGAATAGAAGAAGGGGAAGGAAAGTCATTGGAAATGACCCCATAGAAGGTTTGACTGTGATGATAAAGGCTGCCGACATTTAACACACCAATTTCAAAAACTTTCTTCATATGAGGAGCACAAGCAGTCACTTTTTGCCAATTGAGCTTCCATATAGTGCATATGGTGTAATAACTTTATTAAAAAAAAAGGAATGTTGAAATGGCGGTGACAATTCAAATGTGGAAATGACCCCATAGAAGGTTTGACGGTGATGATAAAGGCTGCCGACATCTAACACACTAATTTCAAAAACTTTCTTCATATGAGGAGCACAAGCAGTCACTTTTTGCCAATTGAGCTTCCATATAGTGCATATGGTGTAATAACTTTGTTAAAAAAAAAAGGAATGTTGAAATGGCGGTGACAATTCGAATGTAACCTTCGAGGTGGGTCCATCTTTTGGAGTCAAGGCAAGGGATGAGATTGGCTCATTTGAACTTAACAAAGCGGAACAAAAGGGAATGAGAGATAGAGGCGAGGGAGAGGGAGAAGGAGAAAGAAGAAGCTCGCGGCCATGTGGCGTGTGCATGAAGTGGCGTTGAGGGTGCATCCTATTCAAAGGAGAAGAGAAGAATAAGGAGGCATTTTGGTGTGCTTCAGAGCCGAAGCTGAGGTCCTAGTGAGTGCAGCTGCTTCTTGTGCAAGCAACTCCGTGAGCGAGGGAGTTGCTGTGCTAAGGAAAATGGAAGAGAAGGTTCGCGAGTTTGCGGGATAAGCGAAGCCAAAGTCAGCTTGCTAAATAAAAGGTTAGTGTTTGTTTTTAATAGAATTTTTATATTAAATTGAATTTATAAGTGTTAAAATAAGTTTTTATGCTAATTGTAATAAGAAATCAGAAGTTGAAGGATTTTCATATTTCAGATTTAATAAGGAGTTCAATATCGGTGTTTGTCCAATATAAGAAGGGATAAAGTGCGGTATGGGTTGTTTATTCAATTAAATATTCGAGGTTATATAGTGACGTGGTGGTAAGGCTTATGTATCTATTTATATAATTAATTTTAATTAAAATGTTATTAAATTAATACTAATATTAAGAATTAAAAATCATAGATTGAAGAAGGAGAGAGATAAGAAGGTAATGGTAGTGTTAATTTGGTAATTATTTATAGTCAATTTAATTATAAGTTGTTACATATTAATATTAATGTGTTATAAATATAGCAAGGTGTGTTAATTGAATGTGTTGAGAGGGACTATTGTTTTAGTAGAAGAAAGATGAGAGAAACTGAGGTAAATATCAATTTGTAAGATTTATAAATTGTTTAGGAGTGACATCTTTAATGTAAATTTTTAGATTAAAGTAAACATTTGAGTTTGAGGAGGAGAAAATTAACGAATTTGAAGGGATCATTTTATATGGGGAAATCAATGTGAGTAATTACTGTTTTATTTTTATTAAATTAAGATTCTCTTATTTGAAAATGATTTATTTGTTTGTACAAATTAAAATCACAAAGTATTTTTTTATAAATGAAAGAAGATAAATGAAAATGATATTCTTACTATTATCTTTTGTGCTACATGAAATGAAAAAGAAATGAATTTAATGATTAAAAAAATTAAATATAAGTTAATGAAAGATACATGACTAAGTTTATTAGAAGTCACTCTTATAGTACTAGTTGAGAACATTATTGTATTCATGCAAGTTAAAGAAGAAAGAAATGAAATGAATGTGCCTTTCTGATATAAAATTGAAAAGGAAATGACAATAGAAATGATTGTTACTTTATGATACAAAAGAAAAATAGTTGTGCCTTTGTGTTACAAAATAAAGAAGGTTTTGATGGTGCTACTGAGATGAATTTTTTAAAAGAAAAAGAAATGAAAAATTTTATTATTAAAATGATGAAAATATAATTAAATATGAGGATTAAATAAAGATTTTATAAATGAAAAATGTGGTTTATTTTTTACATTAATAAATATATTTCTTTGTGCAATCGTATTAGTCATCCGTATAATGATTTAATACATAATAAAGTGATAATTATTCATGAAATTTCTATAAACTTAACCTTTTTAATTATTATTTCAGGAAAAAATCTGCTAGATCAGATGAATGATAGAAGAGAGTTTGAGGTTGTTGATGATATGTAGCATGCTATTTGTTTTTATGTTGTCATTTTTATGATATTACTTGTTTTACTGAAGTAGAATATTTGATTTTTTGTGTTATGTTAGATGTTGTTTACTTATGTATTATTGATTAATGTATCTTTTATAATTGAATGTTATTATGGACTAATATTACTGTTTAGAAATATTTTCTTTCATCGTCCAACTGATTTTCCACCTTGGCTAATTCTATTTTCTTGTGCCGGGTCATAACACAGAGCACTTAGGCTTGAAATATAAAAGAAAGTATTAGAAGCTTTATTTAAAACTGCCGAGCAAAAGTGGGACAACAATAAGAGGATAAGTGAACAATGAGGTGCATATATAACACACATTGAAAAAGATAACACCAAGAATCACATATTGAATTTACTTTTTTTTTGTGACACGGTGGTATGTGTGGGTGGTGTGTGTGGAGATGGAGTAGGGGTGTCAAAAATTGACCCGAGACGCCAATACGACTTGAACTTAACTCGAAAAAATTCAGGTTAGGGTTGACCTGAATATTTTTTGAGTTGGGTTTTAGTCAGAGGATTTGACTTGTTTATTATTTGAGTTGGGATCGGGTTGAAGCCGAAAACTTAAACATGACCTGAATAAACACGAAATTTCGGGCCGGGTTTGGGTTTACAGGTCAAGCTCGAGTTCGGGTCAGGTTGAGGTCCTAGTTTTCGACCTGTTTATTATTTGGGTCGGGTTCGGGTTGACCTTATTTGGGTCGGGTCATTTTGGGTCGGGCCCGAACCCTAACCGCTGACCCGAATTGACATCTCTAGATGGGAGTGATGGTGTGTTGATGGTGTGGTAATGGTGGTTTTGTTGGTGTGGTGGTGGTGGTTTGTTGGGTTGGTGGTGGTGGTGTTGGTGGTGGTTGGTTGGTGGTGATGATGTGTGGGTATTGATGATGTGGTGGTGTTGGTGTTTAGGGGTGATGTGTTAATAGATTTTAGATGTTTCTTTTAAGTTATCTTTTCGAGTTGTGATATTTTAAATGACACTATGTTTTCTCTGCCACACATTTATATTGCTTGGTTCTTTTCATTCTAGTAGTTGTCATGGTTAATACAAAAGAAATTTGTTTTTCTGTCATGTGGGATAAAAATTTGAAGCTAATATTTTGCGATCTCTGCCTTAAAAAGGTAGAATTGGGAAATAGTTCAACCACATTTTTTAACAAGGAGGGCTGGCAAAATATAATAAAAATGTTCAAGGAATGTTATGAGAGATAATTTTACAGGTGTCTAAGGAATAGATCAAAGAATTGTGACTTCTTCAGGTGGACACCGTCGATATTGATCAGATGCGGATAGCTTCTTTGGACGAGGGATTATCTCATGACATCAATCGCCTGTATTTTTAAAATAATATTATGATAATATTTTTTATTTTAATAGTTTTATTTTTTAATTTTGATTGTTGTGTTGTTTACTGTTAATGAGGCGTCAGTCTTTATTATGTAATATTCAAACTGATATCTATTTTCATGAATGAAATGTTCAATCATGACTAATTGTGTTATAAACATCACAATACTACAGGGGCAGAAAGATCCTTTATACATAAATAGCTGTAGCACAATTGCTGCAAAATTTCACGGCACAAACATGCACAGCTTCCTCGCAGTAACTTCTGCGCAGTAGCTTTTTAATAAGTTGCAGTTACCTCAAACAAATCTTTAATGATCTCAAAATTGAACGATCTTAGGCTCGTTGGATTCCTCTTATCGAAATGCTCGAGTTGACTATAAATATGTCAAATTTAGAGTTCATCTGATCATTAAATTGATGATTTAAAACCACCTAATGCGCTTCAATTGCTTGATTTGGGCTTTTGATTAGACCCGAATTGACCCAACTTTGATATTATTGGGTTCGTCTTGTTGAGACGGTTAGTTTAACTATAAATATGTCAAATTTGGAAGATTTCTTATAAAAAATGCACTGAGATTCATGCTAGATGATAAAAACTTCTTGATGACGCTTTAATACTATTTGTTTTATTTTTTTAATTAATTTATTTGTATAATTAGTTTGTCAACCCTAAAAAAAGTGGTTTCACCCTCGAGTATCATGTTCTTGATTATGGTGCAACTACTGGTTCACTTTGCATAGTGGATTCAAGCGGATGGGGGATTGGGGATTCAAGTTGTCTGGCTCTATATGGTGCCGTATATACTCATTTATTCTTTTAAATTTTGCGTAAGTTGTTTTTAAGTCATTTGGTACTTTCTTTTTTTTTTTTGCACAAATTGATTAATGCTATTTGACTTCAAGAAATATAAAATTGAAGGTTCTGAAAGCTGATTTAGGCTACACATAGAAAGATGAAGTTAACCATGTTTATTTATGTATATATCTATATTTTAGTAACGTTAACGAGTCTTTGAGTTTAGTGTTGCTATCTGCACCGAATTATGTTGTTTTGTTTTTTTTTATCAGGTAGAACTTTCTTTCAACATGGGCAAATCTTTTTTTGGAGAAGGCCTCACCCTTTTTGGTGGCAGGTATGCGGAGATTTTGGCTCGATTTTTTTTTCACACTTATGGATAGAACAACTAAGCTGTTATTTCAAGTGAGCCTGCGGAAGTTAATCTTTTGAGAAGTCTATTTGTTATGTTTACCCTTTGTCTTTATAAATACTGCATCTATCCAACACTTGAATCCATTCCTATACTAGGATATACTGATTTGAACATGAGGATATGGACACGATACAGACATGCCTATTTTTGAAAATATATAACACAAAAAGGCTCTTCATATGACATGATAATATATACAAATCAAATATATAAATCATATTATATGTGCACGCGCGTATGTCTGTGGTGTGTGTATAAATTTTAAAATAATATACAATAATCACATAAATTAAATGAATTTGAAATAAATAAAAAGATCATGACATTGCAAAAATAAAAAAAAATGACATTTAAGAATGAAAAAATATATAAATAATTATCATATTATTCATAAATCAAATTAGTAGTTAAAGAAAAATTTAAAAAAATGATAAATATTATGTAAAATGAAAAATAATTAGTAATAAAAATTTAACAAAAAATAAAAATATATGATCATCAATAATTTTTTAGAATATTATATATAAAAAATAAATATAAGTTATTTAGTATAATGCAAATCTTCAAACTGTAACATTTTATTATACATTTCGATACTATTTATATAACACGGCCAAATGTGTCAGACACGGCACGATTGTTTGTTGCGTGATGTTGCTGTGTTCTAGGTTATATATTTTTTAGTATGGCAATGGCGTCTACCTGAGGATGTTGTAACTGAATTTCCTAGCTTCATAGCAAACATAATGGAACTGACACATACTTAGAAGTGATTCTATGCTTTAATATAGATCATGTTGCTTTATGATGTTTTTAAATACCAAATTTTTTTTATCAAACTAATATTAACAAAGTTTGTGCAAACTTATTTCACATGTTGAGATTGTGCCTGCGCTTAAGAAAGTGTCAAGCCACATCCTTAAATTTAGATGAAATTCTTGTTTTTTTTCTTTCTATAATGTCTTATGAATTATGCCTATATCATTTCCAAAAAATGAAAATCTCTTTATTTTGTTAAATGATGCATTGTGCAAGTAAATTTTTTTTTTCTCTGTTTAATTTTTTTGAGGTCCATCTAATTGATGCTTTCATGTGTAGGTTGCTCCAAGTGACCTGGTTAACAAAAAATGGATTCATATATGATCGATATAATTTAAGCAAGGTTTTTCCTCTCCCATATCATATCTTACATGCTTATTCAAGTTCACTAAATATTTTTGGAAGATTTACATGCATACCATTTAGCGCCTATGTATTTACATATCTAACACCAAAATTATAATTTTTACCTATATGCCAAATTATTTATGCATGAAAAGGTGTATTTCACTTTTTAAAGTTAAAATAATGATATTTTTTATGTGATATAAAATATTTAGGTGGTACAAATGTAAAACCTAAAGTTTAGGTGTTAGATATGTAAATACATAGGAATTGGGTGGTGACATGTATGTAAATGCCCCACTATTTTTAGCTTTTAATTGTGGCGTGGGAGTAAATGTCAGTCGTTCCTAGACACAGGTCAACGGCAAGAGGAAACTGCAGCAACATCTTATGTGGGCATGTCTTAACTTCTCACACACTTACGCGGGCGTGTTCGATTTGTTTTCTTTCAATTCCCTTAATTGACTCATCTTCATTATAGGTTCTCGTTAGTATTCCTTAGGATATAAATTACATTTTCATAATTTTCATTATTATACATTATTTTAATCATTTTGCATTTGTTACATGCCAAAAAAAAATCAGAAGAAATTATCTACTAATCATGGCAACTACAACTACAAATTTTTAGTTGATTTAGACATTTAGATAGATGAAATTCAAACCCAAGGATGAAATGATAATATATTTAACTAGAAGGCTTTTTGTAGGGACCTTTATGAAATTCAATGTAAAAGTTGGGATCATATAAAATCATAGAATACATTCGGGGATATACTATAAATTTGAAATTATGAGAAGTTGTGGTATTATTTCAATCTTAAGTGTATATTTTTTATTTTATTTCTGGAATCTACTACTGCTATTGGATTGTTTTCTTTTCATATCCTTGTAATTCATCTTCATTTTCCTGATATTATTTACTTCTTGTTCTAAAAGCTATCTTACATGTAGATATTATGTCCAGTATTAATGGTGCGGTAGACGTAATAATATGGGACGGGATCCATTTCTGATGATGCATTGATTGCTTTGTAGGAAGGAAGATTTTTCATATATACCACTCAATCCTTATTTATTTACATTTCTAACACCTAAACTTCAACTTTTACGTACATGCCACCTTTTCTATGCATTAAAGTTTGTATTCCACTTTTTAAAAGTTTAAATGATGGTATTTTTTATGTGATATAAAAGGTTTAGGCGGTATAAATGTAAAAAAGGAAAGGGTGGGTCTGAGATATATAAATATATAAGAATTAGGTGACATGCATGTAAATGCCTCTTTAAAAAAATATTCGTGATAGTCCAGATGTTAAAGAAGTTTCAATTTTCTATTAATGAAAATTGTCTTTTGATTAAAGCTATGGAAATCAAAGAAAATTCACAGCTAATGCTTTGTGAGTCTACATACCTCCATCATGTTTTTTTCATTTCTCTCTAATAAGATAAATATTTTTGCAGATTGGTAGATTTTCTCATTCCATGAAGGATGGCTGGGGACTTGCAACGGATGGGAAAGTCATATTTGGTAGTGATGGCAGCTCAACACTTTATCAACTTAACCCTGTTACTTGGAAAGGTTTCTAGTTTGAACTGATTAATATCTTTGAAAATTTACATACTTACCACTCAATTCTTATGTATTTACATACTAACAGCTGAACATCAATTTTTTGCATGTATGCCACTTTACATATGCTTGAAAAGTGTATTTCACTTTTTTAAAAGTTAAATTGTAGTGTTTTTGTTGTGATATGAAAGCTTTGGGTCGTATAAATGTAAAAGGTGAAATATAGATGTTTGATATGTAAATACATAAGAATTAGGTGGTATTTATGTAATTGCCCCTAATATCTTTCTATTTTACGTGCATTTGTACTGGTTTTGATTGATTTGTTAATGATGCAGCTATAAAAAAGACAACTGTTAAATTTTATGAGCATGAAATTTCTCTCCTAAATGAATTGGAATATGTGAATGGTGAAGTATTGGCAAATGTCTGGCAGGTGTGTGAATCCTTGCTCCTATAGTTAAATATAGGGAAATTTACATACCTAGCACATAATTTTTATGTATTTAAATATCTCACACCAATACTTTTATATTTACATACATAGCACTTTGGTAGTTTAAACTTATGCATGAAAATGCTTATTTCACTTTTAAAATGCGGTAATAGTGCTATTTTTTATGTAATATTAATGATTTGAGTGCTTTGTATGTAAATATGAAAGTTTAGTTGTGATATGTAAATACATTAGAATTGTGTGCTATCTCTATAAATGCCCTTAAATATAATAGCAAGATCACTTATGGTTCTGATTCTTTGGAAGAAATTGAACTCTGATAGTTTTATGCAACACAAATTGTACTGTTACTGAGTTTTGGAAATTTTGTTTAATCTTATTCCTCATGCTTGGATGATAATATATGATATTTTACATTATCCATCCTATGCTAATATTATTCCACACTAAGAAATTTGTTTAATCTTATTTCTCATTATGCTCACGTTTTCGCATTTGCATACATACCACCTAGTCTCTATGTATTTAAATATTTAACACCTAAACTTTGATTTGTATATTAATACTACCGAAATCTTTCATTTCACATAAAAGTACCACTATTTTCACTTTTAAAAGGTGAAATACACCTTTTCAGCATAGTTAAGGTGGCATATATGTAAAAGTTTAAGTTTAAATATTTAATTACATAGGATTTGAGTGGTATGTGTGCAAATCTTAATTAATTTATTTATTTTTCTTAGCTTTCATTTAGCCTTAATTCATATAAGGGTAGTTCAGTTATTAGTGTCAGTTTGCTTATAAATACCCATTGTTGTGCTAGGAGGGAGATTTTTGAGATATTTTTTTCAGGGTATCCTGAAGAAGGAGAAGGATTTTCCTTTTTTTTTGGGTTGGATTCCCCAAGTTGGGAAGGGTATATCACGGTGGAGTAAGACTAGTTTATAATTTATAATTTGATAAGAGTTAATTTGAAAGCCAGTTTATTGTTTACTTTAATAGAAAAATCGTGAAGGGTAGGTGAACAAATGAACGTGTAATCAATTTCCATGTGTTACTATACGTTTTCCTGATTTAATTTTTTTTTTTATTTTTAGATTTTATTTTTGATTCAAATTCATGTATAAAAATATATGATAAGCCAAGTTGGATATTAATTTGTTGCGCAATGTTTGTGCTCAAATCGTCCTCATAAAATGTCTCATTATCTTTAAAATTTTTAATATTTTTTTTATTAGGATTTGGAAGTTTATCAGATTCTTATATGAATCGTGATAATATGAGGGCATCATGAGGATTTAATACATATCCTTAACACTTGTGATAAAAAAATCAATACTGCTTTATGAAAAAGATGCATTAATGCTTTCTGATGAGCTTAATCTTTTTTTTTTTAGCCTGAAGGTCAAATATGTTTACTATAAGTATTTCTTCATGCAAATCATACCTAGAATTCAATTCCTTAAATTGATTTAAATATTCATTAAAAATTCAACTCTCTTGCAATAGATTTATTTGTTGTTCAAGTAAACTAAATAAATAATTATTTACTTGTCACTCTAGCTTTCATGTATGCCCCAATTTTAGCAGGTTCAACTAAATTAGCCCTGTCATTATGAACTCTTAATTAAAATCTCTTACTGGCACTAACCCATTTAATGTTGATATATTTAACATAACCTTAGAATTCCAATTCTAGAGATCTTATGTTTAACTTACCAGCTATGGAAAATTCTTGATCATATCTATCATCAATTGTGTGGCAACAACCTTAAATTTTATTTTTAAATTAGATTTAACATGATGTTGATCATGACAAACGTTGTGGTCTCTTTCATGATAATATTGTTTATAGTCATCATCAATGGGATAATAATGATATTTAGCAAGACCTCAAGCTTTTATATTGTATTTATATTCGTTTGGTCTAAGATCCCTATGATCTCTAGGATTCCAATGGTTTTTATGTTTCCTAGTGGACTCACATTGGGGATGGCGGACATATGGATCTATCCTAAAAATATTTTGGAAGAGTCGCATATGTACCACTCAATTCCTATGTATTTACATATCTAACACATAAACTTCAAGTTTGACATACATACCACCTTACCTATGCATAAAATGTATATTTCATTTTTTTCTAAGTTTAAATGTTTGTATTTTTGATGTGATATTGAAAGATTTGGGTTGTATAAATGTGAAAAATAAAATTTATGTGTTAAATATGTAAAATACATAGAAATTGGTTGGTATGTATGTAAATGCCCCAAATTGTTTTTAAAAACCTGAGGAGGGTGTGAAGGTGAACCATGATTTTTATAGTCATGTTTCTTTAAATGCACACCATATATTGCTTCTACTAAAATTATCTTAGGTTGAGGAGGTGAGGTTTTTAAAGTAGATCCCTCATGAGGTCATTTGGAAACAAAGGAACACAATAAGAGTTTCCTTTATCTGGATTCAAGGTTGGTTCTCTTGAAATTTTTTGTCATGAATTTAGGTCTACACTTCATCTAAATTAACCCATTACTTGGTTAAATTTATCTTCTAGGTTTATAAATTTATTTTTCTCATGGTTATCTTGATTTTTTACACTAAGAAATGTCATATTCTCCACTTAGCGTGTTGAAACTCACTATCAGATTATGATATGAAAGCAAACACAAGTTTTATGCACACTATATAGTTAGTTATTAATTTTAAACTTTAATTGCATATATTTATATATAATAAATCAAATCAACCTATTGATCGGAACTTATTCAATTAGGCATAGAATTGTTCAAGCTTTAATTAGGCAACAAAAGAAGTTTGATTTGTTTGTTTTTTTTTTTTTTTTGAAATAAAAGAAGTATAATTTTTTTTTAAAGTTAATATGCACACTGCTTTACACACTTAGATTGATAAAATTTTATTATAGGTGGAATCTCCTAAGAAAATGAATCATTTGTGATACTAGACTTCTAATGATGGATTATCTTAGAACACGATCAAATTCTAAACTTATTGCAGTGTTTTCAAGAAATAGTGTATACCTTTATCTCTAAACATTGTAAGAAATTGATTCTTCATTTGTTTCTTTAGGAATAGGTACTCTAGATCTTTAAAGATAAATTTGCAATATGAAGGAAGGATTTTTTCCTTTTTATTCTATTGTTCTTTTTTTTTTCTTTTTTAGTCTCTTGCACGTCTGCATGGGTTTAGAATCCTATTTCTACTGTTTATCTTTCTTTTCTTTTAATGCACTTTCCAAATATTTCTTTTTGTTAGATATTTTACAATTATAATGTGCCGGTTCCAAATGTAATTTCCTGTTTTTCATATAGCATTTTGTATCATTTATACAGACAGACTGCATTGCTAGAATTTCACCTGACAACGGCTCCGTGCTTGGTTGGATTCTTCTCCATGAATTGAGGTATCTTATAGAAATATCTATTGTGCTGTTATATTCTCAATTGAAAGCAAAATAGTTTTAAATTTAATAGTATTTTCGCATCTATGGCAGGAGAAACTTATTAAAATCGGGGCACATGGTAAGCTAGTAATTTTTTTATGTGAATTATTATTGTGATGTTACATGGAAGGATATCTTGTTTCTTCATCAAGTTTCTCATTTTTTTTTGCGGAACTTTTCATTTAAGTTCTATATATATTGTAGGTTTTGAGAAATGAGCAGGTTAATTTTATTGATATGATAGGAGGTATAAATACATGTTACATGAATTCTTAAAACGGGAAAATATTACACTCATATTTCTAACTACCCGAAGGTAAAAGGAAAGACATAAAATAGGAAATAACCCAAAAGGAAATAAATTAATACTAATAACTTCTAACATAAAATAGAAAATAACCGAAAAAGAAATACATCAATAGTAACAACTTCTAGTACTCTCCTTCAAGTTGAAGCATAGATGCCAATCATGTTCAATTTGAATTTGAAGACATCATACAATGGTCGATGAAGACTTTTTCTGAGAATATCGGCCAACTAACTAATTGATGGGACAAATAGAACACAAATCTCTTCAAAATCAAGTTTCTCCTTGATAAAGTGACGATTAATCTCCACATGCTTGGTACGATTATGTTAGACTAGATTATGAGCAATGTTAATGATAGCTTTATTGTCACAAAAAAGCTGCAGATGAATGATGATTGACATTCATTACTTGTGGAGCATGATGCTTAACCAGAGAGCTTCACACACCCCAAGGACATAGAGCGAAACTTGACTTCAGTAATTCTAGGGGCAACCACAAACTATTTTTTAATTTTTCAAGGGACAAGATTTCCCAACACGAAGGAGTAATAACCCGAGATAACTCTTCGGTCATGGACAGACCAGGCTTAATTAGCATTCATATAAACTGCAATAGGGTAAGAGGTATGACAAGATAACAACAAACTTGAGCCTGATGTTCTTTTTAAGTAGTGGAGGATCCGATGGATAGCTATGAGATGGTGCTCATAGGGGTCATGCATGAACAAACTTACAATACCGACAACTTGAAAAATGTCTGAGTGTATATGGGTGAGTTAAATGAGGTTAAGACATTGTAGTGTATTTTGTTCATCGGAACAACAGTGAGAACTTCCACCAATTTCTCATTAGGGTCCATCGGGACAGATATCGGTTCGCAAAGAAGTAAATTAGTCTCAGTCAATAAATCTATCACATATTTGTGTTGGGATAGGCTAATGCTCCGAGTGAACCGAGCCACTTCCATGCCTAAGAAATACCAGAGAGAACTTAGATCTTTCATCTCAGAAGACACAACAAGGTTACCTCTGAGAGACTCCAAGACGGTAGATCGTTACTTGTGAGCACAAATCGTCGATATTGGCGATGATGATGGCAGTACGGTTACCAGATAAATGGTGAAAAAATGACGTATGATTAGATTTGGCCTCAGAGAAACCAAGACCCACTACAACTTGCATAAACTTGTCGAACCAGGTCTGTGGGGATTGTTTCAATCCATAGATAGACTTCAACAACCGACACACTTGCCCACGAGAAGTAGATTCAAATCCCGAGGAAGAGACATATGCACTTCAGCGAGGTCGTCGTTAATGAAAGCATTCTTGACATCCAACTGAAGGGCCAATCTATATTCGTGCCTAGGGATAACGGGACCTAAATGATATTTAGTTCAGCTACCGGAGCAAACGTCTCTTTATAATCAACATCATAAGTTTGTAAATATTCTTTGATAACCAACTGTGTCTTGTTGTCTTTAAAGGATTCATCGAAGTTAAATTTGGCGTTGAAAATCCACCTACAGCCCACCACTTTCTTTTTTGGGAGAAAATCAACCATATCTCAAATATGGTTGTGCCGAAGGGAATTCATCTTGTTCATGACAACAGCCTTCCAGGATGGGTCAGCCAAAGCTGCCTCAGTAGTGGATGGGAGACAACGATCCGTCAAAGATGCGACAATTGCTGTGTAGGTCGGAGGTAGGATGTGGAATGAGATGTATTTCACTATAGTATAAAGAGTGCATGATCGTACTTGTTCGTGTACCTCAATGGGGGAATGTGAATCTTCACCCAGATCATGAGTGACTCTTGTAAGGTGAAAAAGCATTGTTTCGAGGACATCGACCGAAGCAGACTCCAAGACCTGCAGCGGGGCAGCAGGCTCGATGGTAGGGGCATTGGAACGAGTCTTAACATAGGGTTTCATACGACGAGTATGGACACGGGGAGATGATGTTGGTGATGTTGGCCTGGTTGGTGGTGAATCCAATGGGACTGAAGGTTTAGTGGACACACTGGTCATAGGAGTAGCAGAATGTCCAATGAAGTCAGAGAAGGAAGTGCCCAGAAAATCAACCTCCTCTCGCTTGAGGGTAGTGTTAGGGAAGAAGGTGACATTTTTAAAAAAGTAGACATCACACTAACATCGATTATATTGGTGTTAGGATTAAAACACTGATAGCCTTTATGAGTGCCGGAATAGCTGAGGAAGACACATTTAATTGAGCAGGGATCAATTTTACTACGAGTTAGGGTAGTGTTTCGAATAAAGGCAGTACACCTAAATATTTTGGGATCTAATGTAGAGAAGAACTAATTGGTAGGAAAACACGACATTTGATGTATAATGGGGTATGAATCTTTTGGATTTTTGTGGGAACTCTATTGATGAGATAGGTGGCGATAAGGACAACATCGCTCCAAAAATGTTTAGGAACATTAGTTTGAAATATAATGGAACAAACAACTTTGAGAAGGTGTCTATTTTTTCGCTTGGCTACCCAATTTTGTTAAGTTGAATCTGTATAGGAGCTATGATGGAGGATGTCTTACTAGCCAAGAATTCTTTCAATATAGATTTAAAGTACTCACGACCATTATTGGTCTGAAGGACATGAGTAGTGGGTTTTAATTGGGTCATAATGGGGAGTGAGATATTTGAAAAGGGACTGGAACTTCAGATTTGCCTTTTAATACATAGACCTAAATCATCCGAGTGCGGTCATCAATTAGAGTAAGGAACCACCGTGTATTGGTATAGCTGGAAATTCGAGAAGGTTCTCAGAAGTCATTATGAATTTATGAAAAAGAAGAGGAAGTAGTGTAAGTGTGAGATGAATATGGTACACGTTGGTGTTTAACTAATTGACAAATTTTACATTTAAAAGAAGATGAATTTTTATCAATAAACATCAAAGGGTACAAAAACTGGGATGACCCAAACGACAATATAAAAGCAGACATGCAATAGAAAGGAAAAAAACTATAACTACGGGATTGAGTTTGAAGAGTCGTCAATATCATTTTTTGGAACAATAAAGCCCGACTGCTCGCTTATTAGTTCCAATTATCCTCCCTGAAAGACAATTTTGAAAGACAAACATCAAGAGAAAAATGAGCAATGCATTCAAGGTCACATGTTAACTTACTAGGACAAAACGTTACATTTAAGCAAGCAAACATGCAACTCGGATCCCAACATCAGCCAGATTGTTAGTACAACCGACCCTTTATCCACAATGTAATTATAAGAACCGTTAGTAATTTTAATATTATTTCGCCTAGAAGGAGAATATGTCGAGAAAAAGCCAGAAAGCCAGAACATCTGGTCATGTGGTCTCTGACACTTGAATCAATAATCCATAGACTAGAAATAAATCAATGAATGTCATAGAGATGTTACCTTTATGAACATGAGAGGTCGACGGGCCGAACGAGAACCGACTAGACCCAAGCAGATTAATCAATATTTCCATTTGCTTCTTAATAGAGTTTGTTTAGTCGGGAATGGTTTGAGTTGGAGCTGGCTGAATTGCTGTTGATTCCGAGGTCGTAGAGAGACATTTAGCAGTGGAAGATTTGGTCGAAGACATATTTACCACTTTCCCGTAGAGCTTCCCACAATTGTTGCATGTATGGTAAGGTTTGTGACAAAAATCACATGTGGAGGGATTAACTCGCTACGACGTGGTAGATAGAGGAGTAATGTTGAAGACCAAGTCTAATGGCTCCACTGAAGTAGTTGAGCTACCGAACATGACAAGTTTTTGACTTTTTCGTGACAGATCTCGATGAATGCTGCTTATGTTGAAGGAAGAGGGTAACAATCAAGCATACGTCCACTGACTTCATCGAGGTTCTTCTTCAGCCCGACAAAAATTAGAACACATGATCCTTTTCCAAAATTTTTTCGAAGAGGGAAAGATTTGCTGGAGAGTATCAAGTGTAGTCATAGTAGATGTCACGTTCCATCCATAAAATAATCAAATCTTTGTAGTACTGGGTCACCATATTCGATCCCTATTTAGCCTAGCGGATGTTTTTAGAAACTTCATAGAGTTGTCTAGAATTACCTATATTTGAGTATATATTGCGAATGACAGTCCAGAGGGCACTTGCAGACGGAAAAAACAGGTAAAAATGGCCAATAGAGGTCTCCATGAGATTTAATTAGTCATGACATAACCATGGCGTTTTTTACTTCCGCCGCAACATATGATTGGTCAGTCTTCGGAGGTTCACAAATCATCCCCTTGATGTGGCTGAATTTACCTTGACCATTGACAAACAAAGAAACACCTTGAGAGGAGTCATTGAGTTTATGAGTGGTAATCATGAAATTCATAGGGATTTCAGGTAGAGGGATTGAGGTAGATGTCGATCCTCCGGTGGACTCAAGAGTAGGGATAGACGAAAGCTCGGTGGTGTAGGAATCAATCATGGCTCCGATTGAGCCAAAAGAGGTTTGGATGCCAAGCCATGGAAGGAGTTGATTTCTTACACGGAAACCAACAAACAAGGCATGGATTTCTAGCAACATAAGGTAGATTCAGTCAAGTGGGATAAAGATCTGGCTGCAGGAAAGGAGTCTGACGGTTCTTGAAATGGAGGTTCGACAACTTGAGGTAGGGGAACTTGGCTCTGGAAGGCCTGTAGGGGAGAAATCTGACTGTAGGAAGGTAGTTTGGATGCTCGTTTTATGGAGGTCTGGCGGCTATAGACCCACAGGGGAAGGTTTCAAAGGCTGGAGAAGGATCCCGGTGGCTAG